TTTATCTTTTTCTTAGCACTGGTTGCATAAACACCCACAGTGCCAAGCTGATGAGAAAGTGGGTCAAGGAGGTGCAAATTGAATTGCTTTGTAGATTTTAGGTTATTTCTCAGTGATTTTCATCAGCTATGCTGATTGGATGTCTGCAAGTCCCTGTCAGTGAGCTCTAACCTGACACCCCCATCCTCCTTCAAAGGCTTCCTCTGTTTGGCCTGAGCTGTCATAATTTTGCCTTTTTTTTTTTTACCTTTGACACTTCATTTTATGCTCTTCGTGTCTGGCTCATCTCCAGTTTGGGCTTCATCTACCTAAAGCCTCTCACAATTTGTCCTTTATTGCATTACTTTTTTGCTAGCAGCATGTTAGCAATCAGTATTGGAGCAAATAGACTTCCATATTTCATTTTAAAACAACATAACAGTACCAACATTTTAAAATCAAAGCAAATGCTCTTTGGCCCAGTCCTACACACTTTAAAAAGATGCTTCTTCAAGGGTTCTTTAATAAAGATAATGACTCTTTTTAGAACCAGGAGTTCTATGTAGAACCATTACAAATTTTGCATGGTAAATTGTTCTTCAGATTGATAGAGAATACATTGCATATGGTTTTATATTGAACCTTTTTGAAAATGGCTTTATGTTACACCAAGAAAGGTGCTGCTATTGTTACAATGTCAAGCTTATAACAGTAGAAGAACGCTTTTTGGGGCTATATAGAACCATTCTCTATCAAACTGAAAGAACATTTCACCATGCAAAGAACCATTTAAGCATTAAACAGTCCTATATAGAACTCATGGTTTTCAATAGAACCATTGCCTTTACTAAAGAACCCTTGACAAACCAACTTTTTAAATATGTAGAACATTCTCTTTCAAACCGGTTTCATAGTAAGTGATAACCTGTTATACTGATTCTACATTTTAATATGACTGAAAAAAATGTTTGGAGGATGGGTGGAGCCAGAGAAAGCTTTCTTATTGGCTGGATTCAGCCCACAGATTCTTTAATTGATGAATTAAGTCCAAGCATTACATACATGGAGATCTTCATCATGGAGATTAAACATGATAATGATAAGTCTATAATAATAATAATAATAATAATAAGAAGAAGAAGAAGAAGAAGAAGAAGAAGAAGAAGAAGAAAAATAAAAATTGATGCAACAGAGAATACAATAACTGACTTTGTGGAGGAAAATGTAGCATAATTAAAACAACATACATAAACATAAAATCTTTTAAGAAGCATTTAAAAGATTTTCCAACATAATTCAATTGTTGAAATGCTAATAAAGTCATTCAGAGTGGTTTGATGTGAACTGTGTCATTCTAGAGAAACGTACTGGGTCAGAATTGTTCATAGTGGTTGTGATAGGAACCAGATGTCTGAAGAGTTTTGTGTCTCTAAAAGCTGCATCACAAAAAGCTCTTACATGTTATGGTTATGAACAAGTCACCTGATCCCAGAGGCACTGTATAATCATAGTTTTAAGAAGGTTTTTGCCTGAAATATAGTTTTTAAAATCCATTTGAAAGACACATGTGGGGCGTTTTAAGGCAAAATACTCCTTAATTTTCAGATTTACCACCATTCGACCATCATCATTATCCTAATCCCACTGTATATAAATCAAAGTCAGTTTATCTACAATGAATCACCAAAACAACCAAAAGGACTGTGTTCACACATCAGCAGTCGCACCACACAGAAATCAGAGCTGTCAAGCTTGTCAAGAACATATAAAGAGCCTGTTTTATGAATAGTGCAGGGTGCAATGGCTTGGTGGAAGAGCATTTGCTGCTGCAGAAGAGGTTTGGGCACCAGTTGTGCCCTGACGCCTTGGCAACTAGTCACGTCCAGCACACATGAGTGAAAACTTAATCATGCGTCAGCAGACAGAATGTGGCAGTTGCGGAGCTGGAGGGTGAATCAGTTCCTTCAAGTGGAGAATCAGGTGACAGGCAGTGGCGGCCTGACTTCACACACAGTTATAATTTTGCATGCGCTTAATATTCAGGGCAAGCCGCATGCCGCGATGTTCCACGCTTTGGTGCAGAGGCGCGCTTTTCTTTTTGAGTGAAATGCAGTTGCGGACTTAGGGGATTATGTAACATGGATTTTACAAGCCTTTTTTTTTTTCAAACTAATCTGGTTATGATACTGAAAAAGGAACGTAAATAAATAAATTAAAGCAAACTGTGTAGCGTAACATTTAGAAAGACTTGGCAGAGAGAACATAGCTGAAGCACCTTTTTTTCGAGAATTACCAATGCAGTGCCACCAAAATGATGTATATGTATATATATATATATATACCGATCAGGCATAACATTATGACCCCCTCCTTGTTTCTACGCTCATTGTTCACTTACTATATAGGTGCACTTTGTAGTTCTACAGTTACAGACTGTAGTCCATCTGTTTCTCTGCATACTTTGTTAGCCCCCTTTTATTCTATTCTTCAGTGGTCAGTGGTCAGGATGAGCTATCATCTCTGACTTTACATCTACAAGGTGGACTGACAAAGTAGGAGTGTCTAATAGAGTGGACAGTGAGTGGACAGTGGTTTAAAAACTCCAGCAGCACTGCTGTGTCTGTTCCACTCAGACCAGCGCAACACACACTAACACACCACCACCACGTCAGTGTTACTGCAGTGCTGAGAATGATCCACCACCCAAATATCTGCTCTGTGAGGGTCCATGGGGGTCCTGACCACTGAAGAACAGGGTAAAAGGGGGCTAACAAAGTATGCAGAGCAAACAGATGGACTACAGTCTGTAACTGTAGAACTACAAAGTGCACCTATATAGTAAGTGGAGCTGATAAAATGGACAATGAGTGTAGAAACATGGAGGTGGTCATAATGTTATGCCTGATCAGTGAATATATATATATATATATATATATATATATATATATATATATATATATATATATATGTGTGTGTGTGCGTAAGTCCCGAAGACACACGCTCTGAAAACTCTCTCTGTGGCACTTATTAGCCGCTATTGTCCTCAGAGAGCTTCTCTTCTGAAAGCTTTTTCTCACAAGCCACAATGCACTACTCCACACACGAGTGCAAACCCATCGCTGAGAGTCCATCAGGGGATAAGAGAGGGCGAAACATCAAATTAGCATTTTCAACATTTTCTCCACAGCATAGGAAGTGAAATGAAAACATATAAATAACTGCGCTCCACATGCCGAGAGAAAATGGGTCCTACAATGCAGTGTGGAGCTCCTACCACTTTACAAAAACAACACAAACACAACAAAACCCAACAAAAACCCCTACCAAGTGTAACCGTTTACTCTTTTGTTCTCTAGCTATCAACTGTGCATTCAATCTGGTCCCCGAATGCTATGATAGTTTGACACCTCTCTCAGAGAGCCGCCTGATTGGTTACATTCAAAACGGCACAAAATTAAACAAAACATGAAGATGAATACAGTTGTAAGCCAATTGTAGTGCATGTATTGTGACAGAGGTAGACCCAACAACCTATGTTCATGCAACAGATTGGGAAAATAATACATTCATACTAGGGGTGTAGCTAGGGGGAGGCCTGGAGGGGCCTAGGCCCTCTCCCTTGGAAACCAGGGCTCCCAGATTTCTCACTGCTCAAAGATTCTTTCATCCTCGTGCCTTTGTTCCTTACACAAATAAAAAAGAATGGATAAGCTCTTCTTAGGTCAGGGGTCACCAGTTTTATCCATGAAGGACCAATGTGGGGGCAGGTTTTCATTCAAGTGCATCATATAAGTAATCAGTTTGAATCGCAGTAAACAGGTGGAATCAAGTATGCAAAAGAAAATCTGCAGTCACATTGAGACTGGTTACTCCATCCTTAGGTCATCACCATGAAAATGTTTACATGGTAGCATGTCACTATTGGTCACATACCATCACTGTTTTATACCAATTCTGAAATAAGGCACGTAACAGGCAGCTGTGCGAGGTCAGCGATCATGTGTTGTGCTTAATTTTTGATTATGGTAGCTACAGTGAAGTAGGCTGTTTGGTGCTATACTATAACAATGTTTCAACGCCTAAATGCTTCATAGCTGCCCCCTCCATCAAAATTCAGGCAATACCTTTGGTTCATACTAAGAATCAGTGTATTGGTGCATTGTGATGCACTGATCTGAAGGCACTCATGTTCACAGTCATTGACACATCTAGGATGTCCAGAAGGCCTAGAGTGGTGCGTTATATACATTTATAGAATTACTAATAAAGTATAAGACTTTTACTCTGATGGGTGTTGAGTGGTTGAATTTTGGTGTAATATTTAAACATTGAAATTAGTTTCTAATGCCTACAAATCACAAGTTATTGTGATTTTAACAAAGTTTGATTTTATAACTCTAAAAACAGGTTATAAATACAAAAATGGACATATGTCATTTTATGTGTAAACTGCAAATTAATTTAGTATTTTAAGCTGTTGCATGAATTTACTTGGTGCCAATATAAAAATATGAAAGAGAAACCAAAAAAAGTTTAATGTATTTTCTGCCACAGAAACCTGATCCAGCTCATGAATGACTTGATAATTGCCTGAAGGGCTAGATCAGGTATGCTGGGGTGGGAGACAATTGAAAATTGGGCAGAGGGTCCACAAGATCATGGTTGGAACCATAGATAATAATTAAGCAAATGATGCTAAAAACACTGAATTTTTTTTTGCGTTTTCTACAACATTAAGCAAAATTGCCTCAAATTTGTATGTACACCTGTAATCTATTTGCTGTATATTTTCATTAAAAAGGGCTAGAAATTAAGAAAAAATATCACAGCGCAAATATTTATTTGGAAGAATTGCAACAGAAGATGTTAATAAGAGGTAGACATGTTCTTTGACTTGTTAGTGACATTAGCACAAATAAGGTGCTTTCAACAATTATTGCAATTTTGCAAAACAGGGTCTATGGAGCAGATTTAGTAAAGGATCCATGCATGATATGTCTTCATATGTGTCTCCCTTTCAGCTTCGCTCGGATAAGGACAGAGGGGACGGGACGGCGAGGTACGTTCTCTCTGGAGAAGGAGCGGGCACCATCTTCCGAATTGATGAAAAATCTGGCGATCTCCATGCCACTCAGAGGCTGGACCGAGAAGAAAAGGCGTCCTACACTCTGCAAGCTCAAGCTTTCAACAAAAACACAGGCCTCCCTCTGGAACCTGCCACCGAGTTCATCGTTAAGATCCATGACATCAACGACAACGAGCCCAAATTTACCAAGGACGTCTACACGGCCAGCGTACCTGAGATGTCTGACGTGGGTGAGAGAATTAATGATGCCTTTTCTGCTTTGTTTGTTGTTGTTCCGCACCGCATTTAATGTCACAAGCGGAGAGGTTACTCTTGGGCACGATGGCTGGCGTTCTGTTATTCCAGAGCTTTTAAGGTCAAGGATGGCTCAGCGCCTTTTGCTTTGAGACTTTCATTTTTTTGACAAGCCCATGGAGCATGAAGAATGTCAGCAAGTGCAGCTTTGGGACCAAAGTGTGATGCTGGAGTCTCACAGCAATCATCTTCAAAGCAGCCTCACATTCACCATGAGCACATGGAGTCCATTTAGTATATCTGCACCTGGCTGCATTACACCATAACTTCAACCCACAGGCCAGTAGTTATGAGGTCATGGCATAAAACAGAGGAGCTGTTCCTGGATGGTATATTTATATAACAGCACAAACCCAAGTGGTTTCTTCTTTGCAAAGATTTAGCAAAACTATTTCAAGCCACAGTTTTGTGAAGCACTGTCATTTATTCACTTTCCAGTCAAAGAAACCTGCAGAGATATTCTTTTTTTCACACTACAGTCTTAGATGATGTTGTGCTTTCTGCTTTTCACAATCCAAGTAATTCCAAACACATTCAGTGATGTTGAGGTCTGGATTCGGGGGTGGCCAGTCCCTTGAGTGCTGTTTATTTGATGGTGACAGATTTGGTGGTCTTGTGTGGTTGTTAGGAGTCCCATTTTCACTACATTTATAAAAGCTCTTTGTATTTTCTTTTCTTTCTCCTTTTTTTTTTCTTCTTTTTTGGCCAAAATAATAATGCAACTTTTGGTTTCTGGCTGAAAGAGAAAAAAAAAAAACAAGCTCAATTTTTTTTTGCCAAAAAGCAAAATAATAAATAGGTCTACTGTAACACTTAACAAATTATTTAAATGGTAATAAAAATGAGAAATAGTGATTAAAATGCTGTTAGTTTTCTTTTCCGGTCAGTGCAAATACATTAAAACAGTTTGAGCTGCAGCAGATCAACAGTGAAACCCTTAAACATGGTCATCTGCAGCTGCAATCTATTCAGTACAATCTGTAGCTTACATGCTGTTTTTTCGCATTAACTGATTTAATGAAATTATTTAATGGAAATCACATAAATAATGCAGAAGAACCCAACATCTTTTGGTAATAACCCCTTTTTTCCTCTCGTTTTGAAAGCAGGTTCTGCAAGCATATGCGTTCATTAGATTTTGTTGAGGCTGTTTCTTCTCTAGATGATGAACACTAAAGTGAAGCTAATACTGACCCTGCTGGAAAAAACTTCAGGCTGCTAGCTACGTCCACATACTTTACATATCAAAAAAAAAAAATGTTTTTGTTTTCTGTCATTATAGTGGAAGCAATCTGGAATTCAGTTGTTTAATATCTTTGGGAAACCAAGAAATGTTAGATTTTTATAATTTTGCAACTTATAAGAATGAATCTTATTTAGCATGTCTTAAAATAAAATGTGTCCTCCAGTTTTCTCAGGTCTCTTCAACAAAACAGTGATTCTCACCTTTGAAGAATCTTCATCGATCTTAAATTAATGTGAAGCACAAATAAAATGTCAAACTATACAACTTTTTTAGGTTTTCAACTGAGTGTTTCCTAAATTTTAAAGTTGGCTTCAGTTATGAATAATCATTCATCTACCTCAGTGCATTTACCACATTCCTACCCGGTCAGTACGTAGAACAGTGTTCCGTAATTCTGGTGCTGGAGACTCACTGCCCTGTAGATTGTAGTGTTTTCTGTGCTTTAACATACCCAGTTCTATTCAGTATGGGGTTTTAAACAAGCTGACTAGCTACAGCTTGTGTGTGGGGGTCATAGAAAACACTGAAAAGGGTGGGGCAAGGGGTCTACATGACCAGTATTTGGAAACACTGAGCTAGAACTTAGGACACTATAAAACTACATAGATAGGTAGGTAGGTAGGTAGGTAGGTAGGTAGGTATGTAGGTAGGTAGGTAGGTAGGTAGGTAGGTAGATAGATAGATAGATAGATAGATAGATAGATAGATAGATAGATAGATAGATAGATAGATAGATAATGAAAAGCATCACTGTAATAAATACTTTGATTAAAAAGCAAAATAAGTGTTCAGGAAAAAAAAAAAACAAGAAAAAAAAACAGATCTTCTGCCCTTTTTCTACAGTTTTAGAGTGTAGAAACACTCATACAGGGCAAGTCAAAAGCCAGTAACCACTCAAATATCAGCCAATTAGAACAATAAACACTCAAAGAACCATTTTCATGCATAAATTGTTCATTGCATCATGAAGCGTTCTTCAGATCGATGGAGAATGTGCTGTAGCTGATTCTAGATAGCACCAAAAAGCGTTCTTCTATTGTAACAGGCTTGACATTGTAACAATAAAAGAACTCTTTTTTGTGCTATATAGAACCAGCTATAGCACATTCTCCATCAATCTGAAGAACGCTTTTGCGATGCAAATTATTGCTTTAATTATTCAAAGGGTTTTTGAGTGCTCCTAGTCCTATATAGAATCATTTCCTTTTTAAAGAACCTTTGAAAAACCATGTTTGTGTACTCGATGATGAGGCTTTAATCAGACAGGGACAGCAGTAAATATTTCTAATTGTGATTTCAACACTATAAACAGATCTGCTGTCAAGCTACAAAATTGCTATGAAACTGTTTTCATTATGAAAAGAAGAGAAAAAAGCTGATATTCACACCTGAAGTGTTTATGTAACTGAGATACGTAGGAGGCTGCATGGATTGGACTCACGCTATACGTTTACATAAAGCTGACGTGTCACTCCTGGTGTGAACTCAGGGTAAAAGACTTTTGAGAGGTAGATTTTATTTGCTCTGAACACAGGCAGATTTTGCCCTTTTAACAGACTGTTATGATTGCTTTTAGTTGTTAAATGTGGCCAAAAATGTATATTTTAAATTCATGTCACGAGTTTATTTCTTCATGAAGTCCATTTACAGGCAGGAGGCTGAGCTGGCTCTGCTTTGCTAATGTTTAAGACTGTTAAGCGTGTTTACTAAGCACACTAGGAGACTAAGCAGGCTACCTGTCAGAATAAGGACACTTTAAGGCCTAAAAAAAAACAATAAATAAATAAATACTGTGGGGAAAAAAGTCCTTTTTCTGTAGAAAAACATACATATGTAATTTTTTTTTATTCGTATTTAACATCATCACCATAATTGTTATATTTAAACTTCGCAAGTATTGTAGTAACGCTCTAATCCCATTGTTACATTTTGGTTGGAAACAGGAGTTTTTCAATAAGCAATAAGGATTAAAATTTTATAATGCCCATGAGAAAATTGTCCAATCTTTTTTCCTCTTCGTTGTATCTAGGTGGAACAGCTGAGCAAGCTCTCGAGCCACAAGTGGCTCATCAGATCTACCTAAAAAATGACCTCATGTGGTAACAAGTAAACTAACTAGTTTTATTCAACCTAAATAAATACTTTGAATGAACGATTCCTTTAATCAAGGTAATTCCTGAGCTGAATAAAACTAGTTCAGTTGCTTTTTACCACATAAGGTATTTTTAAGGTAGATCTGACGAGCCACTTTTTAACAGTGTAGATTAACTGGGACAGAGTTAAGGACCAATTTTTGGGACAACCTAGGATCAATTTTGTGAGAAAAACATCACTCTAGGCCTTCTGGACGTTCTAGATACATCACTGACTGTGGATACGAGTGTTCGTCTGAACAGTGCCTTTCAGTCAGTTGAAAATGTAAAATAGCAACAAGCAGCTCCAGGTCTTCTACAAAATACAGGGTAAAATATTTGTGACTGTCTGTTACATGCTTCACATAACACATATGGAATGTCTGTCAAATGTCGGTGTTTAATCTAAAAAAGCCACACAGTGTTCATTACTAGCTCAATGCTAACATACTACTAGAATCTCGTAGGGGTGCTAGCAGAAATGTTCTCACAGAAGTGTGTTTTGTCCTTGTTTTTGACCAGGTTTTGGCATTTATGGCCTGGACTGAAGGCCCAGCTTTACTAGTCATGGTTTACTACTAGTGCCACATTGGTCTAGTCGTTGGGTTTGGGTAGTTTGAGACTGTTTAAATTCCCAAAAGGTGTGCAAATTGTGTGTATTTCCTGATTTGATATGTGGCATTCAAAGCTAAAGCTATCATGTGTTGAAGTTTAGACTACAGGTTTTGGAGATCGTCACTAATTACACAAAGTGTGTAAAGCCTTGTGTAGACTGTGCAATAACAGCACTCTTATAATCGCCGGGTCGTTCATGGCTGGAGAAAAGGGCACAGAATGTCAATTCTCCAAAGTGAGCTTAAGAGAAATAGGCTCATTTTTGTCCGTTACATAGTAGTTAGTTCTGCTATTTCAAGGCAAGTCACTATGACTTGTGTGTAATAAATTGTTTACTTTCCCTCTCACACACACACACACACACACACATTCTTGTTGCTTTCTACTGGAGACGTGCACTGAAGTAGAGGTCAAGTTGCAAGATTTTGGACCAAAATTTCTGGCACTGCTAGAACTTTATCGTAGGTTGTCTTCGGTCAAAAAGGTACTGAACAATACACAGTGATTCTATGTGTATGCTACTGAACTGTATGGACCATAGATGAGATTTGTGTTTGCTGCATTAAGAGACTGTAAGTTGATATTACAAGTGGTCATTGCAGAAGTTTACAGTAGATTTTATTTTTATTGCTGTAATCTTTCTTGAAAACTGAGACTGAATTACATTCTCTGGGGAGATGAGAGAGCTTGCTGCTCTGCCTCTATGTCATTGGCCCCATTCTGCAGCTTGGCCACCAGGATCAAATGCCAGGTGTAGTACAGTAGCCTCACTGTGGAACAGGAGGCGGGACTCAGAAGTCTGGGCTTGAGGCTTGGGCATTGTCCTCATGCCATCTCACATGGCTGTCATTGTCCTCTCACAGCCTATAAAGGCTGTCGTAGTCCTCCTGCCATCTCTCAGCCCGCAGGGCTTGGGTACTATCATTACACTGCCTCTCGCGGC